TGATTTTTGCAAATCTGATAGCATCAGATCAATTGCTAAGATAAAATCTGATTTAATTTATCTTTCTAAATGAATTAGAGAGGATTACCTTCTCTCTGAAGATGTACATTTAAGTACAGAAATTATTGTAACTGGGAGTTTAACTCAAATGTCCATGCTAATAATGTTGTATTGTTTATATAGGATCCTGTGCAAACATGAAGGATATTTAAACCTAAATTTAATCTCTGGGTATAAAATCAGCTGCATAAAATGTGTGTTTAATTTGGATAGAAGATTAGTAGAATAGCAATTTAGAGAAAGTATATCAAGAACATAGGATCTGGGGGGGGAAAGTCCAGGTTGAATCTGGAACAATGTATTACTGAGGTTTCTTTGGCATTCTTTTATAGAATAATGTTAATTGGAATGTAATTCTAGCCAGAAAAGGCTAGGATTCTATGTACAGGTATATGATAATTCTACTATTATAAACATTATAAAACAAGCATATATTTCTACATATTTTGCTATCACATCTGAATGTGTAGGGTTCTCATCTTCCATGAAATGGAAAATGTAGGATGTTAAGCTTTATCCAACTGCGTTGCATTAAAATGTGGCATTGTCAAAAGATACAAACGTTCTAACGTGTGTATACTAGCAACTGCTCAGACAATCATTTCTTCTGATAGACTCACAGAGGTTTGGAAGGTGTTACTGATGCCATCAGGTCCAAATCCCTGCTCAAGTATCCAGATGAAGGCATCCCAGACTGATGGCTGCCCAGGGTCTAGCTGGAGGCAGCGAGTCTTAAGGGGAGCTCACCCCCACTCTGGGTAATCGGTTTCCCTGTCGCATAGCTCTGGCTGTTACCGTAATCATGACAGACTCTGGGCCCTGCACTTTGAATGGCAGAGAATCATTCTTCACATTCTGTGTGGCATCCTTTTAGGTATTTGATGGGAGTCATACAAAATAGGATTTTTAAATAGAAAAAGGAAATCTTTCCTTAGGCTAAGCATAACTAGAGTAAAAGAGGAAGAAATCAGCAAAACTCTTTATTATTAGATTTTTGTCTTGCCCCCCCCTCCACCTTTTTAAAATATATTTTGGCCAACTCAAGGTGGCAGCCATACCTAATAATCCTTCGCCCTCCTATTTCCCCAGAACAACAACCCTGTGAGGTGGGTTGGGCTGAGAGAAAGCGACTGGCCCAAAGTCCCCCAGCCGGCTTTTGTGCCAAAGGGAGGCCTAGAACTCACAGCCTCTGGGTTTCTAGGCCAGCACTATCTCCACTACACAAAACCAGTTCATAATAACAACAACAACAACAATACTCTTTTACTGGAAAATGAAGTCTATTTGTTAAAGACCAAGCCTTGAGAACAAATGCCTACAAAGCCAGAATTGGGAAGACAGCAACAGACAGCAAGTGCCGCCTCTGCAAAGAAGCTGACTTGCAAATAGAAGTAGAACAACTGTGGCAAAAGAAAGCAAAGGTAGGACCAATAGGAATAGGGGCCTTAGGTGCAATCCCAAAACATCTGGAGCACCACTTGAACACCATTGCCATTGACAAAATCACCATCAGTCCTGCAAAAGGCAGCTTTACTTGGAACAGCTTACATCCTGCAACAATACCTTCAACACCATCAAACCATCAAACAACAACATCTGCCTATCCCAGGTCCTTTGGAAGGATTCAGCAGGTGGATAAAAATGCCAATCCAGTCTAAACATCTGGCTAACTGTGCGACCAACCATTTGTTATGTTGTAAAATATCAGGGTTGAAGATGAAGGATGATGTCTTGCTGGACCTATTATTACAGTTTTTTGTAATAAATATTAATAGGAAAAATATATTATTTTTAAGTGACTGATTAAAAATTGTATTTAAAATTGTTTTTTTCTCCCATCTTCTATACTATGCTGAATTTTAAAAGATTATATTCCCTAATCATTTAATTTAATTTAATTTGACCATTACAACAGGGGTAATTGTGGCAAAGAAATATAGTTAATCCAAATATCATCTGTCCAGAACTACTCAGATAAGATATGGGGGCGGGTGGGGGTGGTAAAGGAGTGCTTCATTTTGCTACCGAACTGGGAAATGTATCTTTTAAATAAAGAGAAGAATGTGTATAAATAAATTGGATGCTGTGAAATATGTATCAGAAACAGCATCCTCTTGTTCATTATTTCTAAAAAAACATGGATAGGCATTTTGTATTGGAATAATTTATTCAAAGATGAGACTTCCTTTCATATGTACAGTGATCTGCCCTGTGATTGCAGAGAACTGTGCTGAAACCTTCTTAAAATGTATGTGTGGGCACGTATGTTTCACAACAAATTGTTCCGTGTTTCAGCTGAAAAGCGGGCCTCCCTCCCACGGCGCTCTTTATTTCCCAGATGGTCACCAGGCTTCATGTAGGTTCAAGAGGGGAGCTGCAGATCAAGGCTTCCTTCTGGAGTCTAAGTTGCTGACAAGAAGAGGTTGGTCCACTCGCTCATGTCAGGGAAAATCTGATGGACTGGCTGCTTTGGCTGTGTCTGAGAAACCTGAGGTGTTCACAGATTTGATGGAACTGTTGTTTGAAATTTAACCCACATTCTTTTTGTATCACAAACTAAAAAAAAAAACATTTTTACAGCTGACATCAAGGATGTTTATGGTTCATGGATTAAAGAACTGGAACACCCAACACTGGAATGGGCTACAGGTCTTTAAAAAATGTTACATTTGCTTCAGAGGATTTAAAACTAAAACTGATTCATTAGAAGATCTTAGTCTGAGATTACTGGACACCTCAACAAATGTATTCAAAAGGATAGGTGTCAGATTTTCTCTACTGGCAATGTAAAAAATTTGAGGGGTCTTTGCTTCATATGATTTGGTCTTGCGAATCATTGACATCCTTTTAGAATAATATTTTAATCTTTATAAATAGATTTATGGGGAATTTTTTTAGTGTTAACGACAATGTCATATTAAATTATGTCCCAAAACTTTCGAATTTGACCAATTTTTTTTGGCCAGATTTTATTTTTGAAGAATTATGGTTGCAATGGGCCTGGGAAGATTTAAAATGTAATGACGCGAAGATCATAGAACATCGATGTAGGTAAAAGAAGCATGTGCAGACAAAGAAACTGTCTGGGAAATCCTGAGAGACCATGGGATGGCGATGGAGCAGCTGAGCCAACTGGGAGGAGGCTGTCAGGGGCCGAGAGAGTGGGAGGAGGGTGTCCAGGGTGGGGTGCGATGAGAAGAGGAAGGAAAAGAGGGAGGCTCAGCAGTGTATCAACAAGCCTAAAACATACACATAATTTACGTGGCTATTGCCCCATACCATATTTTATTATTTTCCTACAGATTTGTTTTGAAAATGTAAATATTAAAAGCAGCCAAATACTGTTTCATAGTTTGTACAATACACCATAATTTTTCTTCAAACACCTCCTAAATATTTTCCATTTGGAAATATTTCAAAAGCAGCTGTCCTTTTAGTCACTACTTTGTAACAATGTGTCAATTGATTCTTACTTCTGTCTTATTTTCATTAATAGTTGCCAGAGACATTTCAACAATATAGATAAATAGTCACTATAATTAGACTCAAAACCATAATCATTTCTTATGTATTATTCTTCCTTATACACTACATCACTGCATTTTCTTTCTCTATATAGTTTTTAATGAGAATTTTTACTTGAATAAAAGAAAAATAAGAAATATATGAAAGAAAGAAGAGAAAAAGAAAAAAAAGAAAAAGTGCAGAGAACAATACAGTTAAAAGGAAAGAAAGAAAAAAGATAATCAAAGAAGTGACTTCTGACTCTCATTACAGCAGTTACAGTCAAAGTTGTTACCCCTCTTCCCTTTGTCCCCTTATTCAACACTTTTTCAATCATCCAGTCTAAAAATCATCATTTAACTCTTTCCATTTTCAGCAAAAAGTCCAAAAGAGGTTCAGTATTTCACAAAAGTACTTGCTATTTTATATTCCATTGTTGGTACTTCAATATATCTCCATTTTATACACATATAATAATCTTTCTGGCCAATGAAATAGTGTCCTCTTCCATAAATTTGTCTGTCATAAATATATTCTTCTGGAGTGGTCTAACAATTATCTCCTCCTGTTATAACTTTCACTCCCTTTTAATAATACATTTTTCTTTATTTCAAATGTGTAATCCTTAAAAGGGGAGTAAAAAATAAGAGAGGCTTTTTTCACCCACATCTGTCACATTTTAGTCCCTTTCAGCACTCCATACTTCTGTAATCACATGGTCTTCTCAGAACATCACGTTTCCCTTCTTTTTCTACTTACAGTATCTCTTTGTTTAACACAGTCAGCCAATCAGCTTCCTTAACAAATTTAAACATTGTTCTTTCCCACGAAGATATATATTAATCTGTTTATTTAATTCACAAAATACTTTAAATGAGGCAATATTCCAAATTTAACTGTCCCTTTAGTCTGTTCTTTAACTTTTCTATTCCAAAACCCCAGTCAGCTTTTTACATTTAATTCTTTTAAATCTTTATAACTGGTTGCTTCCTTTTTACCTTAATCCTTCCCAGATCGAAGGTGCGTTCATCCAGGTGGCTTTAGGTCAGTGTTGTCCGAACTTGGCCACTTTAAGATGAGTGGACTCTCAACACCCCCACAATTCTCCCCCCACCCAACCCCCGGGGGTGTTGTGCCTGGGGGGGGAAAAGCTCTTCAAATAAAAGGGCAAAGGTCGAAATCA